AGCTTTTAAAAAGCGACACTGAATGACAATTGCAAGGTGTGATAGAAGTCACATTGCTCTAGGAGATGTGCATGAATACTACCTCTCTGGGGGTTATCTTGACAAGGGTCTCAGACAAGAACATACCATTTGCATAAGCAATATCACTTTCAGGCATTTCTCCTAAGGAAATAATTTTTTAAATGTATGAGCAACAATGTTTATTCAAGTGTTATTTAAAATGGGGGGAAAAAACTAGAAATAACCTAAATATTCAAATACAGGTATCAAATAGCAAATATACTCCAAAATGGTTAAATAGCTCTAGATTATTGTCATGAAGAAAGTTTGCAACTTAATACTTAGTAATAAAGTAGTTTACAGGGTAGCTTACAGAGTATGCACAGTATGTGTGAGTCCATACACAACTACACACACACACACACACACACACACATACACACACATGCACACCCAGAATTTGTAAAGGTTTTGTAAAGATAAATAACAAAACTTAACAGATTATCTCTAGATGGTACATTTATGGAGTTTGTGTCCATGTCTTTTTATATTTTTATCTTATTTCATTTTATTTTGTCCTATTTGCTTATCTATTACAATGATCATGGATTTTTTTAATCATTATTTGAATGCAGGAATTTTAAATAATTGTTCTCTAATTCTGATGTGGATTACCTAAAATTTACTGAATTGTTCCCAGATAACTACATAAGCTGCAAAAATAATAAATGTGGAGAGACAGATAAGTAGAATGAAAAATTATATGAACAATGAAAAATAATTCCTATAATTAATAATTATAGGAAAAATGAAAAATTATTCCCAAATGATAGCATTTTGCAGTCCTGCTACTCACACAACTCTACCTTATTTAAGAATGTTTGTGTTGGTAAAACTCATGCTAAATTACTTGAAAATAAAATGACTCTATTAATTTTGAATTATTTTATTTATTTTAAAATTCAATGTATTTTTATGTAAGATTCACTTTACACAATATATAGTAAGTCCATTTCTTAGTTTGTGTGGGCTGCTATAACAAAAAAAGAATAACAGAAACTGGGTAACTTATTAACAACAGAAATTTATTTCTTAAATTCTGGAGGCTGGGAATCCCCAGATCAAGGCACCAGCAGATTCCGTGCCTAGTGAGGGCCATTTCCTGGATCATAAATAGTACCTTCTCCCAGTGTCCTCCCATGATAGAAGGGAATAAAGAGCTCCCTTGGGCCTATTTTATAAAGGCACTAATTCCATTAATGGGATTCAATACCTAATCAACTCCAAAAGCCCACCTTCTAATACTATCACCTTGGAGGTCAGGGTTTCAACATATGAATTTTGAGAGGACACAAACATTCAGACAATAAAAGCCCAATTCATTTTAAAGTTTATTTCTCTCATGAGAGTAAGAGGAAAACAGAAAGCAGGAGCGAGAAAAGCAAGCAATCTCAACAAGGTCTCTCACTGCAACCCCCTACTAATCCCATCCAACCAGCCAAGATCATGGATTCATGAATGCACCAGGTATATACAGACTGACCAAAGAACTGAAGCTGCAGACTTCTGTGTGATGCAATATCACTTGAGCAATGTGTTATTGCTACAGCACTGAACTGGCCCTTAATTCAGTTTAGACTAAATGACATGCCTAAAAGATCTTGATGCTGCCCTCTGAGGGAGTATATTGGAAAATTACAGTGACTATAAAAACAACATTAAAAGCTTACGGATCTCCGAGTAATTATGGCTTGGCTGAACTGGGCTGGTTTCTCTGAGAAGTTATGTTTCAGGGATAAACATAAAAATGACTAGACTCAGTCCCACTCTTTGTGCTGGGTTCAGGTCTGTTCCATTTGTGTTTGTTCTGAAGACCAAAATAAAGCAGCAGCAGCCACCTTGC